GGCAACTTGGCGAGACCTCATCTCTACAATAAATAAAAAATGAGCCAGGCATGGTAGCACACGCCTGTAGTTCCAGTTACTCGGAAGGCTGAGGCGGAAGGATCGCCAGAGCCCAGTGGGTCGAGGCTGCGGCGGCCGCTCCCGGCCGCTGCACTCCAGTCTGGGCGACGGAGTGAGACTCCGACTCAAAACAAAACAAAACAAAAGGCAGCGCACATGAGGGTGGGCCCCAACGCGCCAATCAGGACTCGCAGAAACATGCGACGCACAAGTAGTTCTCAGAGGCAACAGCGTGCAAAGGGGTGATCGGAGCAGGGACTGTCCATCCTGACACGAAGCCGCGGCAGGAAGAACACAGAAACCAGCATGATGCCCCAGCAGAGATGGAAAGGAAGGACTTTGCAGAGAGGAAAGTGGGAGTGCCACTTCCATCCATGGCAGACACGGATGCTGGATGTGGCCTCGACAAGTACAAGCAGAAAGCCCTGGATGGCCAAGCAAGCGAGGGCACGTCCACACAGAACCACTCTCCCTGAAGCGCCCGGCCATGCCACTGCACCCATCCGCTGGGAGGCGGGGATGCTGGGACTAGAGCAGGGCCATCAGGCGCCGCTACAAGGCATCCCAGACTCAGTCAATGCGTGTCCGGTGAAAGCCAGTCTGCGTGCCAGCTGTCCCGTCGAGAGGAGGGTCGGGACTGGAGGGCTGGCTGGGAGAGCCCGTGGTGGGGCCTTTTGGGAGGATAGGAGGCCCTGCACCTTAGCAGGGGTGGGCTGCGGGGTGCTCACCCTCACCAAAAAGCGTCCGGCTAACTGGACGCTTAAGATCTGTGCACTTTGCTGTCTGTAAATTATACACCCGTTTTTTTAAAAAAACCAAATATTTGCATAAATGAAGAAGGAGAAAAACTCGAAAGTGGTACATAAAATTAAAGGAAAAAGAAGACTTGCAACTACATCTCAAAAAGGCACGTGTCTCGTCTAACATCAATTCTGAACTAAATAGAAAGTCTAAAAAAAGTTCAGGCACATGTCAAACCAGAACCACCCACGCCACCGTGTTTCGGGAAAGTCTCTGGTCTCAGATGAAGACGACATCTGTTTGCAAGACGACGGGCTCGTACAGACAGGAAGGAAAACTGCACTTTCTGTGCCCGGTCAGGATGCCCACTGGGGGCCCGGAGGGAGGACGCCCAGCTCCCTCAGCCGGCGGGGGTACTCTCCGTGCCTCCGTTTCCTGGGCCTCGAGGCATCCATGTGGAGTGCCTGGGGGGACCACACCCACCCACGTCCACTGGCCCTCTGCCACCGCCCCATCCTGGGCCAGTCGGCCCGGAGTCTCGGCACACAGAGCGTGTCCAGCCCCTCAGGCTTCGTGAAGAGGCGGAGGGAAGGGCCTGGGGGTGCTGAGGGACGAGGGGCTCAGGCAACCGCAAAGGGGGGCTGTGGGTGGCCGGAGAGGCGAGTGTGTGGAGGAGCCGCTTCAGCAAAGGGAATAAGTGGGGAAGCCCAGATGCGTCCAGGGCCCAGAGGGCGGGCCACAGCTCCAGGGGAGCAGACAGAGAGACGACAGGACCAGAGCCCCGGATGGGAGGGGACAAGGCACAGGGCTCGGAAGGCCTCGTCCCCTGGCCTGATGCTCTGCCCGGACACCCTGGAGAGCCATACTGGGCAGACACTTCCACCGCAAGTAACATCTCCATGTGGAGGCAGGGAGCCCTCGCCTAGGCCCTGCCCACCCAGAGACGGAGACCAGGCAGCCCCCAGGTACTGATCAGTGAGAGATGCCCAAGGCTGCTCCATCCTTGGGCTGGAGACCGGCCCAAGTGACCACATCCGCAGCCAGCAGTGCTGGGAAACCAGGGCAGATGCGCCCCACCGCAGAGACACACAGCAGCCAGCAGAGCTGGCTGTCGGCGCCGCACGGTACCTATGGCAGGCACCCCAGGCGGCCAGGCACCCAGAGCAGGCCCCACACAAGCACAGGCAGCCCCCACACTCTGGTCTCCGATATCCGCAAGCAGCCGCATCAGGGGCCGCTCCACACCTGGCCCGGGCCGGCCGCCAGCAGCGCACAGAGCTCCTGTCTGACCACCAAGGGACACCCTGCCTCCCGAGCTCCGGCCCACAGTGCGCGGGCAGAGGTGGCGAAGGCCTGGTCAGGGCGCACCTAGGCAGCAAGTACAAGTCGCTCCTGGCAAGCCACTGTCGTGGGCAGAAGACACGCAGGACGGAATGCAGAGTGGCAGCTGGCGTCGGGCTCAGCTCAGGAAGGGCTGCCGGCCTCATCTTCCCACCCCCTGCCACCCAGAGGCCCCACAGGAGCTCGGGAGAGAAGGACACAGAGACCTGAGCAGGATGCTCCCGGAGGAGAAGCCCTGGCCCTGGATCTGGCCAGGCCCCAGGAGCCGGATGGGCGGGCAGGTGGGAGGCATGTCTCCCTTGGACCAGACAGCCCGCGCCCCTCCCTCAGTGGCAACGTGACTCCGCAGGGGAGGAGGTGGGGAACACAGAGATGGTCTGTGAATCCCAGGGGCAGGAAGGCAGGTCGGGCTCGGCAAGGGAGGCTTCCTGGGTCCCCATGGCCACCTCCACCAAGCACCCCCCCCAGCTCATGCCAAAGGCAGACAGGCACCAACCCAAACGCAGACGCCCAGCCCCCAGCCAGCGCCACACAAACCAAAGGGCGCATGTGTGAGCGTGCACTCGGCCCAGAACAGTAGGACAAGTGCCCAGTGCTCCAGGGACAGCAGGGACTGCCCGAGCACAGGGCAGATGTGAAGGCGGTGAGCTGGGCTCCGGCAGAAGAGCATGTGACCTGCAAGAGGCTACGAAGACAGTCACGCCCAGGAGACACCTGCCAGTCACTGTGGATGAAGGACTCCTGTCCATAAGGACACATAGCCCTGAAAAGTGGCTTGATTCATTTTTTTTTTTTTTTTTGAGTTGGAGTCTCACACTATTGCCCAGGCTGGGGTGCCATGCACACTCCCAGCCACCTCTGTGTCGACCTGCTGGGCTCTAGCGATCCTTCCACCTCAGCTTTCCAAGGAGCCAGAACTACAGGCGCACACTATCATGCCTGGCTAATTTTTTTTTTTTAATTGCAGACACGAAGTCTTGCCATGTTGTCCAGGCTGGTCTCAAAATTGCAGGCTCAGGCAATCCTCTTGCCTCGGCCTCCCAAAGTGCTGGGATTACAGGCCTGAGCCACCACGCCTGGCTACAGCTTGATTCTTAACAGATGTTCCCCAAAGCCATGGGGATGGTGGGAGCTCACAAAAAACTCTCACCATCGCCTGTCAGCAGGAAAGGCAGGTTAAACCCACCAGGACTGCCAGACTCCGAACAACAGGCCATACCAGGACCAGGGAGGCGGCAGGCCAGCCAGAGCCCTCTCTCGCCACAGGGCTGGCTGGCCTTGGCCCTTTGGAGGAGACTGAAGTCCACTCGAGGCCGCCTTGAGAGATGCGGGCGCAGGCCCACAGGAGCGTCACTCATGGCTCCGAACATTGGAGATGGCCTAGGTGCCATCGACTCATCTACACAAGAGGCCACTCCAGCAGTGGAAGAGAGCAACAGCTGGGCACGGAGGCTCATGCCTGTCGTCTCAGCATGCTGGGAGGCTGAGACGGGAGGACTGCTTCAGGCCATGAGTTTGCGAACAGCCTGGGCAACACAGCAAGACCTCATCTGTACAAAACTGAAAATACAAAAATTAGCCAGGGTTGGTGGAGCACACCTGCAGTCCCAGTTATTTGGGACGCTGATGCAGGAGGTGGCTTGAGCCCAAGTAGCTGGAGGCTGCGGTGAGCTGTGGGATCGTGTCGCGGCACTCCATCTTGGCACACACAGCCACACGCGGCATCTGCACAGCATCCACTAAGTGAGAGAGGCTAGGACGAAGCTGGAAACTCCGTGGCTCCCTGCTGAAGAATCCCGGCACAGTCCAATGACAGTGCTCGAGAGCAGCACTGGGGGCCGGGGTCCCCAGGGGATGGCTTCGAGGGGGCGTGGGAGCTCCAGGCGTCCTCTGCCACGGCTGTGGGTGGGCAAGAGCCAGCCGGTCTGTCACACACACCCAAGTGCACGTGTCACCGCACAGGACCTACGCACAGAGGAGCCAATGAATAGGTCCTATCTATTTATTTATTTTTGAGTTGGGTCTCACTCTGTTGCCCAGGCTGGAGTGCGGTGGCACACTCATGGCCACCCCCGTGTCAACCTGCTGGGCTCAGGCGCTCCTTCCGCCTCAGCCTTCCAAGTAGCCAGAACTACAGGCATGCGCTACCATGCCCAGCTAATTTGTTGATTTGTTGTAGAGATGAGGTCTCGCCAAGTTGCCTGGGCTGGTCTCAAACCCATGGGATCAGGCAATCCTCTCACCTCAGCCTCCCAAAGTGCTGGGATGACAGGCTTGAGCCCTGTGCCTGGCCGAGCGCACGCTTTAAACGGGTGAACGCTACTGAGCGCCAGCGGGGCCTCCATAAGCTGACCCAAGACACACCCACGTGGACGAGCACACCCCAAGGAGAACCCAGGAGCTTGCCCACACAGCACCGGTGCAAATCAACACACACAATGGGGAGGAGGAGCCACACACGAGCGGGCAAGGGCTGTGCGAGTCCACTCACAGGTGTGGCCGCACTGGCACCGAGAGGGTCCCAGGGTCCCCAGGGTCCCGGTGCTGCTGGTTCCTGGCTCTGCGACGGGGGCTGATGTGTCGCCTGCAGGCTCGCCCCATACGCCATGCTTCTGACAGAACACAACCGTCAAAATG